CACGGATGCGCCGCGATTCTTCTTAACAACCGCCAACTTGCACGGCCGACGCACGAAACCCAATCCAGAGCATCCAGAATTGATCATGCATGATTCACTTCTTCCTTGCATCGCCTGCCAGCGTCCTCCTATGACTCTGCTGGAAGTTTGTTGAAACCGGAAATATTGCGCAGCATCTGCATGCGCGTCGTTGATGTTATTCTGTCGCGCTGCTGCTGGGCGAGAGCAGTAGTTGCAATGCCAAAGATTTTGACTGGCGTGACTACCGCGTTGAACACTTTCATCCGTAACTTCAACGATATGGATATGTCCAACAAGTTTGGTTTGTTTGCATGATATTTGCTCCATGCGCGCATTCCAAGCGGCAGTTCAGGTTGCTTTGGGAACGCTCCCTCACATCAACACTGAATTTCTTGCCACGGTACTTGTGGCAGTCGCGCTTTTTCATCTCAAGCAGGTCGTGCCCGTCGAAATCGAAAGGCGTTGGTCGCTCCGCGCAGGCACAGACGAGGTCATTGGTGAAGACCTTTGCCTTACCAGCGTTAAGCGACAGACCACATGCGGCAAGCTCGTCAATCAGCGCGCGGAGCATCGCGGCGCACCCATCAGCCGAGCTCCCGTATAGGACAGTATCATCCGCGTGACGAATGTTGCTCCATGGCGCTGGTCCCCCCACGTCGATTCCACTGTCGGGGAAGCGGCTCCTGAAACGCCGGATCGCGTCCTCGAGCCCTGCATGGAACAAAAGCGATGACAACACATCACCCTGTTTCGCCCAACGCGTGATGTCGAAAGACTCATCGCCGTTGACCACGCCTGTCTGCTGGTCGTACATGTCGAAGAGAAGCCGCAGATATGGCTCGGGGACACCGTTCCGGCCAAGGCCTCGAAAGGAGAGTGGCGCTCGGTGCGATCGAAGGCCTCGGCAGGGTCGATATACTGACCACCCACACTGGCCTGGTCCAGTCCCGGCATTTGGAGACAACCTTGTCCAGCACGACACATTCATCATCTACGGATCGTTTCGGCCTGAAACAAGCTTGATCCTCTTGCTGCTCTGCGTCGAGAGTAGGCCGCAGTCTCTCGAATATCATTCGCGAGAAGACTTTTTGTATGTAATGCGATGTGCTGCAAGTGGGCGCCAATTCTGTGCCTCCCGTCAATCTCCAGACTTGGGTAGCATCATGCAGAATGTCTCATGCCACGATGGTTCCATGAATCCAGCGCGGAGAATTGCATTCAGGCCCTCCAGCAACACATCGTTCAATGCGCCCCCCCCGTGCAAAAACATCTTCAAAATATCCCCTGCTCTGTCTGCACACTTGCCTCGTCCCATTCGCGCCATAGCACATCTGATTCCGGCAAGCGAAAATCTGGAAAGTCGTGCGAACCGATGTTGCAGCGAGAGCTGGACCATTCGCTTCGCTGCTGCGCACTGTCAGTCCCGAGCACCTCCTGCAGGGATGCATGGAAAGCGTCGGCTACAATCGGGCACCGGCGGCTTTATCGAGCGGGGAACATGTGTAGACGAGATTTGTGCCTGATGCCCGTGGATTTCTCCAGTTGCTGCTGTGCCCGATCGTCGAAATATTTCCACACATGGTTCCGGAGTTCAGTGTTGATCATTTTGGCAATTGCGCCCTTTCTGCCTTGTCTGTTGTCTCCCGCCTCTTCTTCCGAAGATTTTGAACTGTGCGTTCGTGCCAAGGCCGTCGATCATCAGGAACTTGAGGCGGTGCGGCTTCGACTGCCGGAGTTGTTACCGCGTTTTCGATGTCTCTCAGTGGCGCACAAGAGGTTTGCAAATGATATCTTACCAGGGCCTCGTGCATACGGATGGCGATCTGGCCCGAGCGTTGGCTTTCATCTTCTACGAAGCTTCCCGTCAGTCTGCTTTCGCTGTTTGGCCACAGAATGGTGAAAGACGGCATGCACAGCCCCATGGTCAGAACCGGTGTCAAGACTCCGAACAGGACAGTACGACAACGGAACCAACGATCATAGCAAAATATGTAGTCAATACGCCGCTTGAGTCCCAACGAAGATTCGAAGTGCCACTGCCTAATCAAATCGTCATTAGCTGTGTCTAACATTTTCCGCCACCGTGCTGTTGGACTGAAGACAATCCCTGAAGCAGGTCCTCGCCATGACCACACATCGTGTCCTGCCACGTGTAGTGTCTAGCTCCGTCTGCAATTGACGTAGCACTGCGCAAGCTCGTCGTGCGGATACCCCGCTTGCGTCATAGACTGACATTTCTGTAAGTAACAGCTTGTCTAACACGCGACAATGCTAAGATCCGCCCCTCGTGAGAGCGGACACCCTGAACATCATCGGAGTGTTCGGCGTGAGTCATCAGCGGTGCCGGCACATGTTTGTTCTACCAGGGCCGATCAAACGGTGTCCTAGTGCCCCCCCCACCCAGATCCACATCGTCAGTCTTGGCACGCGCCTCGGAGAGACACATCGAAGTCCATTCGAAGTCTTCTAGTTCGCCCACAAGTTGTGCTTGCCTGTCAGAGTTGTATTGCGAAGGCCTGACGGCCTGTGCCGCCGACCCAGAAGGACGACGACGACGACGACGACCACGACGACAAAACGACAACGGCGAGCTGATGACCCGGCCACAAGCTCGGGACTTGGGGCCCCCGGTGGTCTAGTTCGCCCATAAGTTTTGCTTGCTTGGCAGAGTTGTCTATCATATGCACACTGTTGCAATAGATATTATGAAATGTGGAACTGCTTTGTTAGTCCTGGGATGTTCCCTTGCCCTTGCCCTTGCCCTTGGCGATGCCTTTACCGTGCCCCTTGCCGTTCTGTTGCTGCTTGTTGCCAAGCTTTTCCTGGGACTTCAAGAACAAGTCGTCAAGCTCATCGGAACGAAGCTCCTCCTGCCAACTTGTCCCGAAATCGATCTCGAAAGTACTTAAAACTGCGAAAGTGAACGACTCGGGAAGACGCTCCTCCAAGGGACGGTCAATGTTCGCCCACACGCGAGTGCCGTTCCATTCATAGCCGTTGTCCCTGATCTTCTGGATCGTTCTCTCTCTCTCTCTCTCTTTCTGCCTCCGTTTTTGAACTGGGCAAACAGCATATCGTTGAATGACCCTTTTGCAAAAACTGAGGCTGGGGCGGGCCCCCCCGCCCGCCAGAAGCGTGCTGCACAACCATTTGCAAGCATCAGCCTCGCTCCATTGACCGACAAGACCACCGAAGGCAGCTTTGAACGAGTTCTGGCTGAGCTTGCCAAGCAGAGCCTGGAGCTTAGCAATATTTGTGTTGAGCTCGGCCTCCGTCTCATTGACATTGTCTGACTTCATGGCTCCTGAGACCAAACTTGCACGTGAGACGCCCTTCGGCACGGCGGCATGTAGCTCTTCAATGTGTATTGTTTGAGGCTTTATTTCCGACTCCACAGTTCCGAAACGAGCGTTCACTTCGGCATTCAGATTGGCGAAGCTCGTCTCGATGCGGGAGACATCATTTTGTAATGCGCGCACGTCCGATACGAGAGGCTTCAAGCTCATAGCAAGTAGCGTTGCAAGCGTCTCGTAGCCTTGAGAAGCTCCCTGGCTGGGCCGTCCCATCCACAATGCTTGCTGCTGCCTCCGCGCCGGGCCTGGGCGTCATCGCTGCTCCAGCCTCGTCGTCGACGCCGTCCATCTCGTGCAACGGACTGGACAAACGAGCTCGTTTGTCCTTGGGAGCTGGCGTGGTCGGCACAATCGACGCAGATGCAGAGGCACCCGATGACGCCTCGCCCAACACTCCGCGCACTGGAGTGCCTGGATGCCCAGGAGGACTGGGATGATCAGGTGCCTGGTTGCGCGAGGATTGGTTCAGTACGGGGATCTGATCAGTGCGGTGAGGCCCGCCCCGCATCGCCGATGCATCGTCGATGCGGCTCGATGTGCAGCCCGATTTTCTCTACACCGGCGTCGCCGATGCATCGGTGATGCGTCGACGATTCGGCGCGATCCTCCGACACCATCTGGGAGGCCTCCAAAGCGGGGATAGGGGTGTGAGCTCCCGCGGACGGGCACGTTCCTATCATCGGGGGCGGCTAAGAGGGGGGTGATGAGTTAGGAGGGGGGGGGATATGATGGCAGGGGCCCCGATGTCTCAGATCTCATGGCCCCTCTTCTTCCTTCAGTACGTCTCCTGGTCCCCCCCTCGTCCGCGAACATGCCTCGGGCCATGGCTTGCGACCCCTCCTTCTTGGCCGCCCCCCGCCTGGACGCCCCCGTGACCGTCAAGACGCCGAAAGAAGGACCACTTCAGGCTCAGAGGGGGGCGTGGGTCTTCGGCCCGTTCCTCGGGCCAGGTCGGGGAACTTATCTGAAGCCGAGACTCGCCGTGGCCAGAAGAGCCCCTCCGCTCCTCATTCCGCGTTCCTCGTGGTAGCACGCTGGCTGTCTGACCTCTGAGGAGTGGGGCCTGCCGAGCTCGCTGGGCGGAGAGGGGGGCGCAGAGCTCACTCCCCCCCTTCCCTTCTGCGCGAGTCGGCTCGGTGAGTTCGCTTCGGGTTGCCTGGGGCGCCTCGTCGGCGTCCTGCTCGCAATTCGTCCAGCGGCAGGCACTGTGAGCGGCATGTCGGCGAGGAGTACACGCTGGTCGTTGAAAGGATCGGTATCTGGATTCCTGGACTCCAGTCTATTTCCAGCGCCTTCCTGCATTGGGAATCGATGTGCTTTTGTGTTTGTGTTGTTATCCTTTGGGCGGGCCCGAACCCAAGCTACTTCATCCGCCTTCCTACTTCATGTGTTTACCTACTTCTTCCGACTGGTGGGTACGGAGTGGGGAACGAGTGAGCGAGAGTAAGTCAGTGAATGCCCAAACGAGTGAATAAATGAATGGGCGAAAGTTGGAAGGCGCCGCGGGTTGGTACGTTCTTAAATATGTAATCAGATTGATTGATTTGGGTGAGGGGTCCGATGGCCAGAAGGACGGATGGAGGGATGGAAAGACGGATGAGCGAGTATTCAAGAGACCGGCATTAGTTGTCAACCATGCGCATGTGAGAAGTGATGATTTCATGGTTTTTCGGAACAGATTGGTACTCGTTCCCCTCGGCTCAAGCCGTTTAGGCCCAAGCCATTTTGCCGAAGCATTATCTGATTCAGGTTCAAGCTTAGTCCCGATCATCCTACAGGAAGGTTCTCTTATCTGTGGTGGCCTTGTGTTGCACACCGCTTCGCGGAGGACACGGCTGGTCGGGCGTTCCGTTTGGTCTTCCCCTTTTCTGTTCCTCATCTCGTGAACCCCCTTCCTCTCTCTATCTCTCTTTCTCTCCTTATCTGTCCTCTTCTAATTTAGTCTGCGTCCCATTTCTTTCTATACACCTATACCTATTCCTTCTTCGCCTTCGCCTAGTTATCCTCGTCCATCGGCTTCTTACACCCTTTTCTCTCCGTCTTCCTCCTTCATTGTTCTTGTCTCCACCTCCCCCTCCACCACCTCTTCCTCTCCCCCCGCCTTCATTCCTTCTTCCCTCCTCTTCCTTCTGTGCAGCTGTATCCCTTGCGCGGAATGGCTGGTGACCCCAGTGTGTTCCCATTTCGAGCTCCCGATCTGCAACCCCACGCAGCCCGCCTGGGATAGCTATGATGTTGGGAGGCTCTCCTTTTCTGGGCAGCCTTATCAGGCTTCTGGCAATGCGAGACTGCCAGAACCAAGTTATGATGATTTTGGGTAGGCTAAGATTTTGCAGTCCTGTGCGTTCCGTGTGCCCTTCGTTTTGATGTGTTGGAAGTAGTCCGTTCCTGCGCCGTCTTGTAGGTTTCTTGGGGCCAGGTTTGGGCCGTCATGTGGCCTTCTGGGCCACGTTGCGACCCATAGGCCGCCTCTGGGGCTCTCTTGGGGCAGTTTTTGGGCCGTCTGAGTGCCCTATCGGAGAGTCTTGGGCCGCTCTTGCGGCTCCTGCGTGTGTATGACACTTTAGGCTTCTTTTGGGGTTCCCTAGGCTTGTTTTGGCCCCTCGTGGGCCGTCTTTGCCCCGTCTTTGGGGCCTCGTGGGGCCTGTTCGAGTCGTCTTGGGGCGATGTTTATTACCTCTAGGGCCGAGGAGGCGAGTCTTCCAGAGTCATGCAAAAACGTATGGAACATGAATGCTTGTGTTGCCTCTTGGCGACCTCGCCATCATCCGACCCCTCTCCGATGGCAGGCCTTCCAGTATCCTCTACAGACGCCACTCGTTTTACTGTCCCACACCCCGTTCCCATGGTCATAAGGTGCTTCCCTGAGACTCGTTCATACACGCGGCAGTTTCCTGGGACCTTACCGGAAAAATGGGTCAGGTCTTTCTCTCAATCGCGAACAAGGAATATTTTTTGGCACGACGCCGATCGTGCTGCAGCTATAGTACATCCCGTGCCTGGCCCGACCTCCAACACGACCCCGTCATCACCGCTGCGAACCAGGAACTGTGCAGGAACTGGGAGCCAGAAACCAAGAACCAGGAATTGGGGGAACTTGGAGCCGGGAACCGGGAACGGGGAACTGGGAACCGGTAACCGGGAGCCAGGAACCGGGAGCTGGGATCCGGGAGCCAGGAAACGGGAGTTTGGAGCCGGGAACCCGGAGCCGGGATCTAGGAATCGCGAACCAGGATTTGGGACAGGTGTTCGGGAATTTAAGAACCAGGAGAGAAGGAGAACGAAGGAGAGTGATACAGTTATATATGTATCTATATTACACCTGAGAAAACCCAATTAGTGGATGATTTGAAAATTAGTCATATGGATCTTGAGATCGATTGTGGGAGCGATAATGAGATCGATAGTGGAATCGATAGTTGACAAATGTAAGGTCGATCGTGAGACCGAGAGTGGAATCGATTCGATGAGATCGATAGGGAGACCGATCGCGAGATCGCTCGTGCGATCTCTTGTGAGATCGCTTGCGAGATCGATTGTGAGGTCGATTGTGAGATCGATGGTGAGATCGATAGAGAGTTGGGAAATGAGATCGATGCTGAGACCGATCGATAAGAAGATCGACCAGGAACCCGGAAACCTGGGAACCTCGCCGCCCACCGAAATCGGCCCGGGAACCGGGAACCCGGGAACCCGGGAACCCGGCCTGCCACTCAAAACGGCGTGAAACATTCGTCTCCTCTTTCAATATCCGCTAGGACCCCTTCAGTGCAAGCACTGATTGGGGAATGTATGTATACATGCGATGGGAATACTTAGAGAGAGCGATAGGTAGATGTAAATGAGCCTAGGAGAAAAGGGAGAAAGATAAGTCATCCAAGTGAAGAGTTGACATGGAAAGAGAGATTGATACCGTGAGCAGTACTCAGAGATAACAGCACGTACAATTACACATGTAACTATATACAAACATATGACATGTATGCATGTCGCTGTAGAGGGGGAGAGGTAGAACGAGAAGCAGAGGGATGTGTAGAATTAATGGCAGGGTCATACATGCACATTCAGACGTGGACCGTGTTCGGCTCAGCTAATTATATATGGATTCGAACACTGTCCCATTATCATAGTTGTACGCGGAGAGTGCGACATGCAGCATAATTAGAGATGCTTAGTCATATGCGTTGTTATTTCTATACGAATGCATATAACATCGTATATTCAGATATATAATGAGATAATGCAATAGGGATGTACCAAACAATGAAGTTCTAGTACACATGTGTATATGCAAACGCTGGTCTTGCCTCAGTTTCGTTCCCTGGCCCTTCTCCTCGTCCTGGCTCCTCTACCTCCACCCACTTAAGCACTCCTCCTCGTCCCTGTTACCCGTTCCCTGCTCCGTCCTCTTCGTCATTGTTCCTTCTTTGCTCCTCCTCGTCCTCCTCCTAAGCTTCCTTTCATGTTCCTTCCTCTTCGTCCCTGTTCCTTCCTCGTCCTGGCTGCCCCTCCTCCCTCCACCCTCTTGACGGCCTTTGAGGATCCTCCTTGTGGTCTGCCAGGTTCTCTCGGGAGCGCCTTGAAGTTTCTTGGGGGGCCTCTTGGGGGTACGTTTGGGGATCTTGGACGACATCTTGGAGGGGAAGCCTCCCGAGGCTAGTTCGAAGAGCCCGTTTGGTCGGAGGTTAGGGGGAGGGCCCCCCACCAGGCACTCAGTTTCGGTTTCGTAGGCGTGTCGTGCGTGCGGGCGAGGCGAAGCTGCGCGGGCGCGCGAGGAATGATGGCGCTGTGGCTAGGGGCCGCAGAGCCGTTTGACCGCCCCCCGCACCCGCCAGGCGCGCCGGTGCCCGGGGTGCCCCGTCGTTGGCGCGGGGGTGCCCCGTCGGTGGCGCGGGATGCCCCGTCGGTGGCGCGGGGTGTCCCGACGGTGGCTCTGGGTGTCCCGCCGAAGTGTCTCGATGGTAGCTCGTGAGATCAGGTGAGATAGGTAGCGAGATCGATTGTATGATCGATTGTGTCATGGATCGTGATCGTGCGATCGATCGCGAGATCGAGGGATCGGTAGTGAGATCGATTTTGAGATCGATTACAACAGATCTTTGGCTGGGGGTGCCCCGCCGTGGCTAGGGTGCCCCATCATGGTGTCCCGATGGTGTCCCGTGAGATCTCTTTTGAAATCCCCATTGGGATCGATAGTGAGATCGATCGTGCGATCGATATCGAGGGCGATAGTGAGATCGATGGTCTGATTGATTGTGAAAATTGTTGCGAGATCGATAGCGCGATCTGGTGTGAGACCGACAGTGAGATCGTTTGTCCACAACAGATCTCACTATCCATGGGTCGTGTTCGTCCCCGCTCCAGCAAGCACTCCACGCATTGCCGTCACCGCTCATGGTGCTCCCCATGTCGTGGTTGCCGAAGTTGTTCTGCGACGCTGTCGACTGCTGCCGCGCCATGGCGACCAGTATTCCTTCTCAACATGAGCGTCATATTCCAACATCTTCCAAAATCATGTTTGCCAGCACGGGCCCCAATCTGCAAGTTACTGCGTTATTGATTCGTCGACAAGCTGTGAGAGCGTGATAATGAGGTGGTGCGACCTTTGCGGCAAGCGGCTACGCCGTGTAGGCTATCTCGTGCAGGTGCCATGCAGGCGGTGCAACACACGTGTGGTTTGAGCTATGTCGTGCAAGCTACGCGATGCCAACCATGTGGAAGAAGAAGAAAGGAGGAGGGAGAAGAAGAGGAAGAAGAGTAAGAAGAAGAGGAGGAGGAGGAGGAGGAGGAGGAGGAGGACCCCCGCTGAGGGGTGCAAAGGAAGCTGTGTGGTGCAAGCTGTGCTGCCGCCCGGCGCATGAGGGGCCCGCAGTCGCTCACGGGCGGGCACCGGACGAAACTTCGAGCGAGCCACCCAGCGCACGAGGGGCCCTCGAGGCGCCCACGGGCAGGCACCAGGCGAAACTTCGGCTGACCAGCCCAGAGCATGAGGCGCCCACTGGCGGGAGCCAGGCTAATCTTCGGCTGGCCCATCCAGTTCCGTAGGGAAGAGAAGTACGAACACCTCACTGCAAGCATTGTCTTGGGAATGGTGCAGCACAGTGATGCTTGTCTCTGGAAGGCCCCTTCGGCGTCCTTCTGTATCCCTGTGCGGACGTCTTGGGATCCTCTTGGGCCGTTCTGAGGCCATCTTGGGCCGTCTTGGCACTCGTTCGGCAGTCTGCGGCTCTTTTGAAGTGAAGATGTCTAGGAAGCAAGAAAGCAACAAAACGGCACGATTGCACATTGGTGATGTTTGAAGATGGTTGCGGCGGGGAGTGGTGGATCCCCTCTAGAATCACGGAAGAAATGTCACCGTACTATTTGGAAGAAATCGAGTACGCTCTTACGTGCCGTTGGCACGCTCGCGGATTTACCATCTTCATCGTAGAGAACTCGAACGTCGTGCATCGCGTCACGATGGCATATCATACCACAACGTTGCATAGCATAGCCGAGCATAGCAAAGGTGTTCATACTCATCGCATAGCTAACGAAAGCATCGCGCAGCACACCACAAGACATCTCGGCACGGCAGTGCATGGCACAGCGTAGCAATTGCACAGCAGGACGTCATAATTCATTTCAGTGGACATCACAAGCACGCGTACACCCCAAGCAGTGTTTTTATTTGGGGTATCGTGTTTCTCGCTTGTTTTTTTCAAGAGGCGTACGTCATTCCGCCGACCCCCAGAAGACGTGTCAGTTTCTGGCCATCATGAAAGTTAGATTTATTGTGTTAGGAGCCTCTTGGATGCACAGGAGGGGTCC